AGTCTTTGAAGGGAATTCCTGACATTTGGTGTACTTCCCTTGAAGGTCATTCGCTTCCTTGGCCATGTGTCACGGGTTGCCTTGCAAGGCTAACTCCGTGACGTTTCGCTCGCGGTGGTGTGGCCATTTGAGTGCTCAAGAGTGGCCATTGGAAGTGCCCCAACGTGGCCTAACATTGGCCCCAAGTAGCCCAAGGCATGTATGCCACCAATAGCCAACAAGAGACAAAGCCGTAGCCCATATAAGTCATTATGACTCCTCAGACATGTATGATGTTTCCTCCTGCCAGATGAAAAAGGGCTTAACAAGCTACTATAAGGGGGTATGGTGTGCTACCTACCTGCCTCCCCACCCAAACTGGGTTTGAAGTGAGCAACCTTGGGGCAACTCAAGGGCGGGCTGTAGGCATCCAGAGGGGTGTCTAGAGTCTCCATGTGGGTTTGGGAGCCCCGTGGACGGTGCGAAGATGTAGGCACTGCGCGTCTCTCCCGAGGGAGAGGTTCACTACGTTGTTTCCACTATGCCACGCAATATGGTATCTTTGGGACTCGTTTTGGACCGAATGGGCTATCGAGGCACCACTAGAGGCCTCGTGTGCCAACTCTAGTGCTTGGTTTGGGTTCGACCTTGCACGAGGGGATCCCGTGGCTTAAGCTAAGCGGTTGGAAGGCGACGCCGCCTATGTCGGCTATCGAATGAAGGCATCAAGCTATGCATTGACTAAGTCCATTAAGGGACTACATTATGCTACAAGCAAGCTACGGATTGAGACGTCGCCTTACTCATGCTACACGTTGGTGCAACGCTAAGGTGCGCAATGGCCTTAGGCGGAATCTAGCACACGTATTGGCACGAGGACTACGCCGTGGGCAAGAGATTGGCCCTCGGTGTCTTGTGGGCTTCGCATGACCAAGCGGCCATCCAATATGCATCTATTGAGGCATGCTAGACCCTGCGACACTTCGAGATGCTATTAAAGACCCAACGTGCAGTGTTGGCTTGTCGGCTAAGTTGAGGACCTTCGCTAGCACATTGTTGTGTGGCTAGGTGCCTTGATGACATGAACCTAAGTTGGGCGAGCACCTTGCTTGAAGTAAGCTTGGCGCTATGAAGCGACTTATGCCGTGCTTGGTGCACTTGAGGCGTCAGGCCTACTTGTGACATCCGGGTGAAGACGGAGCTTCGTTGTGAAGTTGTTTTGCTTGATAAAGCATTGGGACCTAATGTTCAAACGGGTGAGATCATCAACACTCGATTTGTCAGCGAGCAATGGCGGGCTTAAACTTGGTGGAGTTTGAGCGCCACACAGGCAAAAATTGATCCGCTGCGCCTCTAAAGGAGTCGGCCTGTGACACCATGGTAGGCCAATAATATCCTTGTCGTTGTAGCCTCCTATAGAGGCCTACATCTCCAGTCCCACAGGAGCGGTTGTGCACCCCTTCTAATTTGGACTTGGCTTCGATAAGGTCAATGCATCGTGCCAATAAACCACCGGGCCCTCTATAGTAGAGGACTCCTTGATAAATTGTGAAGTGTTTGGTCTCACTCAAAGGTAGTTTACCTAAGGGGCCACGGAGTTCATCGATGATTGGGGCTCTCCAGTCGGCGGGTTCTTTTTCAGGGAAGATAGTTGTTACTGAGCATGGCACAGAGCGTTTCAGAACTTTTATCTTGGTTGATTCTTCTGAGAATTCCACCTTAGAGGCCAAGGTGGAAAGGGCGTCCGGGTGTCGATTGTTGGAGCGAGGAGCGTGTTCTATCCTTACCATGTCGAATTTGTCTATCAACCTTTGGACGATGGTTCTGTATGAAGCCAAAGGGGGCTCTTTGATAGCATAGTCTCCATTGATCTGCTTGACCATCAGATTAGAGTCACCTTTGATACATAAGAGACTTACTCCTAGGTGGAGTGTCGCCAAAAGCCCCAGTATCAGGGCTTCATACTCTGTCTCATTGTTAGAGCATCGAAAATCCAGTTTATATGACAAATTAACTTCGGTTAGGTTTGGGGAAGTAAGGACTATTCTAGCTCCCCCCCCCTTTGGAGGTGGATGATCCATCAAAACTCAGACTCCATTCTCCTTCAGCATTTACTTCAGCAGCTTGGAACTCATCTCCTGGCAGCTCATCCGAGAGCGGCTCATGTTCTCCGCTGGGGAAATGAGCCAGGAGGTTGGCTAGCGCTTGGCTCTTAATGGCCTTGGGAGCTTTACAGGTGATATCATATTCTGCTAGCGAGAGGAGCCAGCAAACTAGCCTGCCGGAGAGAGCAGGTCTGGTGAGGAGGAATCGGACGGGATCACTCTTGGTCATGAGATGAATGAGGTAAGAAATGAGGTAATGTCGGAGCTTTTTAGCAGCGAAGACCAGGGCGAGGCAATGCCGCTCGATGGGGGAGTATCGGATTTCAGCCCCTTGGATAACCCTGCTTATGTAGTATACGGGTCATTCAAGTCCATCAATTTCTTGGGCAAGCAAAGCTCTGACTGACTTCGGTGTGGAAGTGATGTAGAGGAGTAAAGGCCTTGCTGGTTGAGGAGGAGTCATGGAGAGAGGGGAGGTCAAAGCTAACTTCATCCCTTCGAACGCTTGTTGGTGCTCCTCATTCCCTGTGAACCTGACATCTTTCTTTAGCAATGAGTTGAACGGTTGTGTTATTTCAGCCATAGCAGGGATAAATCTTCTCAGATAAGATGCCCGACCGAGGAAGGTTCTCAGCTCGTCTATATTCGTTGGTCGTGGCATATTTCTGATGGCGGCGACCTTTGCTGGGTCGGGGTCTATCGCATGGCGGTGAACAATGGAGCCAAGGAACTTGTCGGCAGTGACTCCAAATGCGCACTTAAGTGGGTTCATTCGAAGTCTGTATTTCTTGCAACGTTCAAAGACTTTTTGAAGGTCTTTGAGGTGATTAGCTTCTTCTTTGGATTTTACAACCAAATCATCAATGTAACACTCCAGGGTTTTGTGCAACATATCGTGGAAGATGGCTGTCATAGCTTTTTGGTATGTTGCTCCCGCATTTTTCAATCCAAAAGGCATTACGGTATAGAAAAAGTTACCTATGGGAGTGCGAAATGCCGTCTTGGGGACATCCTCTGGAGCCATCTTAATCTGGTTGTAGCCACTAAAACCGTCCATGAATAAAAACATATGGTGTCCAGCTGCCAAATCAATCAAGGTGTCCATGTTTGGGAGTGGGAACTCATCTTTGGGGCAAGATTTGTTCAGGTCTCTAAATCAACGCATACTCGAATCTGTCCATTCTTTTTTATGACTGGGACGATGCTAGAAAGCCATGTGGGGTGCTAGATAGGTTTGATGAATCCTGCTCCAAGCAGCTTTACTACTTCGTCCTTGATGTTGAGCTCTACCTCAGGCTTATAAAATCTGACACCTTGCTTGACTGGGTGAGCTAGGGAGATGACGTTCAAACGGTGCATGGTAACTTCTTTGTCTAGGCCTGGCATTTCTTCATATGTCCACGCAAAGATGTCCGAATACTTCTTGATTAGCTCGACGAGGGGCCTTCTCTGTTCTTCTGGCAAATCTTTACAAATGAAGATAGGATATCTGGGTTTTCCTTCAGGGACTATGTTGATTTCTTCCAGTTTTTGCTTTTGGGGCCGAGGGCCGTCTTGTAAGCATTCTGGAGCAGGTCTAACTTCTTGTAGTCCATTTTTCTTTGGGGTTGCAACTGAGTTAGTAGGGGCTTGGTCAAGGGATGAAGTGGCTGCCTTAGATTCAACTTTTGAGCCCCCAGCTCTATCCAAGTGACTTGTTGATGGACCATTGAATTTGTCGAAATGCTTTTCTATTACTGGGAGAGCCATGACTTTCTTCTCCTTTCTGTTTCTCTTGTCCTTGCTTTTTTTATTCTTTGCCCTTGGAGGGCGTTGGGCCAGTGTAGATAGAGCGCAACAAAGATAATCTTTTTCATTTGGTTCGTGACAAGCGATTGCCACTTCGTTTGGCTGGGGGTTGGCATTGGTGACACTTGCCAACCCCAGAGACTGTCATAAACGGTATACCACTCTGCCATCTTTTGTTTGGAGCCTCGTCACTTTAGGGAGCTTTCTTGAGGGTTCTGATCTGGCGAACGTCTTTCTATGAGGTGGTGATGCATCTTCTTCCGAGAGGTCATCCCAATTTGGTATGGGAGTTCCTCAAAACAGCAAGGGGGGCTCGTCCTCATCAACATGATTGTAAAACACTGCATCCGCCATGTGAGCTTCATCCACTCGAAAGGGTTTTTGAGAGCCAGTTATGGCCACTACCTCATTGTTGTAAATTGCTTTGACACATTGACGGTAGGTGGAGGGGATAGCAGCATATCTATGGAGCCAAGTTCTCCCTAAAAGAGCTTAGTAGGTCGTCTCAGCCTCTATGACATGGAACTTAGTAGTGGAACGGATCGGTCCAACTGCTAAGTCTAGTTGGACATGCCCTATGGTTTTGATTTTTTTATTTCCAAAACCGATGATGGAAATGGGTTGTCTGACTAGGTGTTTTTGTGAGATCCCGACTGCCTGGAAAGTAGAATAGGGCATTACATTTAGTGAAGCCCCTCCATCCATGAATCCTCTTTGAAACTCTATCCCATTGATGAACACTGGGACGTAGAGGGGATGATTGTGTAGGAACGGTACTTGCTTGTCTACTTCAGTAAAGGTTATTGCCAAGGAGTTATCTCGGAACACTTTCCTAATCGATCCGCTTACACTCATGCATGCCTCACCATTTTGCTCTGCAAGCCTTACAAAGGCCTTGGTGGCTTCGAAACGTGTTACTTCAGACAAACCGAATTGGTCGAAGAACCATTTGAACTTTGTTGATTTCTTAAGTGCTATCGCGCGTTGGGTCTCAAAGTCTGGACAAGTGGGAGCTGCGAGCTCAGAGAGCTCACACACCATTGGTTCTTCCGTCTCGTCATAATGCGAAAACATCATAACCGTCTTGCCGTTATCTTTGTAACGGGGGAGAGGAGCTTTTAAGACGTCCTATGTCTGGCAACGAGGTAGCTCCAAAATGTCGTCAGCCATCATCTTTCGAACTAGGGATCTGAGCACCCAACATTCAACGGTAGGATGTTTAACGGAGTGGTGGTATATGCAGTAGTCCGCCCAAGCTTGATCGTTTTTTATGACAGGTTGCCTTGGTTCAGGGAGATGAACTTTTCCATCTTCTACCCAAGCGTTGAGGAGTGCTTGTGCCTCATCCACCGAGATAAGCAACGGTGGGGGAACTTGATCAAATTTTCCCTTCTTTGCTTGGAGATTTGTTCTTCCTCCATTGAAACCTCCCGCTGCATATACGGCGTGGTTGCGTCTGTTAGGCCTCCATAAGAAAGGTGGAGATGCCGCTGCCCGCCATGAATGTGGCTGTGGAACTTCCCTTCGTGCCCCCGATCTTACTGTTTCACTTTTGTTTCAAGCCGCAGCGCATAAGGCAGAAAAGTCAGGGAAGTGGTGATTGACCAACTGGAGCTTGTAAGTTGTGAGCATTCCTTCGATGCACATTGACACCAGTTGATGCTCTTCTATCGGGTCTTGAATGTCTACTGCTTTTTCTCTGAAGCGGCGAATATAAACAAGGATGTCCTCCCCAAGTCGCTGTGTTTCCCTCATAAGATGAAGAGTGGTTAGCCTTTCTTCAACGTAAAAGAACTTGATATAGAATTTTTTTACTAAGTCCTCCCACGAAGAAATAAAGCCAGCAGCGAGGTTGGCGTACCATGAGAATGCCCGATCTGTGAGGGACTTGGAGAATTCTCTTATGCGGAGGTTTCGGTCTTCTCGATGGACACCAAGAGCATCGAGAAAGCGCAAAACGTGCTCTCTAGCATTCCCTTTCCGTCCGTCAAAATGAACAAACTTTGGTACAGTGTATCCTGTCGATTATGGGAGACTTGCGATATTAATAGGGTATGGGGGACGGAGATCCAGTTCTGGAGAGGTAGGGATGTGACCTTTGTTTGTTTAAAGGAGGTTGTGTATGTGTTCCTTCACTTCGTCCAATGTCAGGGGTTGGACTGAAGGAACCTGGTCTGACGGGAGAGCCGGAGAGCAAGTTGAAACCACCGTGGCGGGAGTTCCGCCGACCAAACCAACTGGTGGCAAGGGTGCTTGGCTTGGAGCCTGTGGAGGGTGTAGAACAGCTGTCTGCCCTCCTACTTGGTTTTGCAAGTTGTTTCGAAGGGCGGGGTTAGCCTCTGAGCCATTCTGAGCTGATGGTCAAACTCCATTTTGTGATAACGAAAGGGGGTTAAATGTTGATGGAAGTGTAGGCGCCCTTTGTAAGGCTAATAAAGCATCCATCAAGAGTTGTTGGTTCTGTTGGAGAGAGATGACATTCTCAACCAAAGCACGGAGTTGTTCCGCTATGGCCGGTTGAGAGGATTGTTCCTCCGGGAAGCCATCGGGGTTGTGTTCCGACGTCTCCACCAGAGCCTCCCTACCGCCACCTTGGGATGTCGCTGTACCACTTTCGGTATTCTTTTTGGGTGCCATGTGAAGTGGGCACCACTCTTCTCTAGTGGAGTATAATGTGGGTGATAGAGATTAGAGGCGATCGGTTGTTGACCTCTGGGAAGATGATAGGCACTTCAATGGCTTAAAATCACCGGAGGTGGAGGAGTAGAAGACCAAGGCAAGCTTAGAGAGGGAAGAGGTGGCAGTGAGAGACCTTGAACACTTAATGTATGTTATGTGATTCTTGTTGCTCTTGCTGTGTGTTTGTGGCTGCACTTGTGATGCCGTTATATAGACTCCAGGAGTATTGGAGCCCAAGCAACCTCAAGGCAGGTGGCAAGTTCTCCTCAACTTGACAGGAGGGTGATATCAGCCCTACTAGCTGTGTCCTATGATTCAGGTCCTTGGGGAGATTGCATCATAGGAACTGCAGGGGTTGGTGTGATATCTTGAGAGGTGTATCATATGTGCATCAGATGTAAGTGTAAGGTCAACGTCTCTTTCTCTAAGCCAGGTCAAAGGGGGAGCTATCACTGCAGGGAGATAGCTACACGACATTGACGATCCCAAAGTCTTAGCCTCCAATCCACAGTCCTCCAATGATCCCAAGCGGGAGTGCCCAGGTCCTGCTCCCGACCCAGGCAACCAAGAGGGTGAATGCATGGGTGAGCCAAGGGCTCACCTCAGTAGCTAAGTAAACATAGGTGAGCCGAGCATAGGTGAGCTAAGAGTCTGGCTACGTTGCCATAGAGTTGGGTGAGTGGGTAGAGAATAAATTTCTTGAGTTATGAAGGGTCATGAAGAGCTCTAAGTGAGCCAGCTCCATATGGCCTTGTTTCATTCTTGGTGGTGTGCATGCCCCCGCTTAGGCTAGGCATACAATCTCGACTCATCGTGGTGCCTCAGGGGTCTGCTACGTGAATGCATAATGGTGATGACATACTCATCGTGGTGCCTCAAGGGTCTGCCACGTGGATGTGTAGTGGTGCTGACATGCCCGTTGGGCTCGCCACGTGCCAAGTATAGTATAGATACCCACAATTACAATGTCACTATTTCCTTATTCCAACATTACCATAATTATAATATCACTATTTCCTAATTCCAACATTGTTTACTATTTTCTATGACCAGATTGACTTATTAGGTTTGGTTCTGAACTTTGCAGACAAAATGAGCTACAAACAAGGTAGAACTAGAGCTAACAATGAGGCTGATATTAATGCCAAATTCGATGACGAAAATTTTCTCTTCAAGGTGCAATTATCACCTAGCGATTATAAAAGAAAAGAACTCACAATTCCTCAGGAAACTGCAGAAAAGTAGTGCCTTGCTGCGGATACAGGAACTGACCTGGGGATCAATCTACTACTTTTCGACAAAAATAACAAGTAGTGGCCTATGATGAAACTCACAATCCCTCAGCCTGGTGACCTCTTGGTTAAAATAACTGGATGGTCACAGTTTTTTAGTGCACACAATTTGATAGCGATGGATTTGATTCAATTCTACAAACCTCTCCAGCCTTTGCATAACCAGCATTACCTTCTGGATAGCCTAAAATATATCTTTAAGAAGAGAATGGTGGCTGCTGATATGGACAAGTTCACTATTCCCACAGGAGAAGCAAGAAAACATTTCCCTGCACTAAAGTAATGCTGTTGAAATTCTGAGACACTACAAAATTCTGATCCTGAATACAAGATTTTGCTGTTGAAATTCACAGGGTATCCATATACTGTTACTGGCAAAAGAAATTACACTACCTGTATGAGAGGGTAATTTATATGAATATTGGGCCGAGATGGACAATGGGCCGTTATGGGCCACAGTACGAAGGGCTGAGTAAAAAGGCCTCAAATCCAGTTCGGTCCAAGCAGGACTTAAAGTTAAGACCAGTCCCAGAAGTGCATTATTATCTCGGTCTGGGAGAGCGCGGCAGTTTGGTCGCTGGGTCACCACCCTCAGAGTTAGTCTGGTCGCAGCATATTACGGTTAGCCTGGTCGTGTCTTCTAAACCGAAGTATGATAAGCCTTCTTCACAATACTTCTGTGTTAGTTCGGTTCGACACTTCTATGGATAGCTCGGTCTGGGCATGCGAAGCCGAGGTAGAAGCAAGGAAAAGAAGAACCGAACTGAAAGTTAGATCTGTCATACCTGCATATCTAGTAAGGCAATGGTATTTTGGTCTCATAGAAGTCTGACCATGGTAAAACCATCTCACTTGGTTTAAGCAGTGAGGAGGGTGTTGAAGGATAAGCATTATCTTTCAGGAGTATGAATCCTAGGAGGACTCTGCATGGAGGAGTGGAAGTCCTATTAGGACTATGCCATACGGAACCTATAAAAGCTCACAAACATCACCTATGCGCTGGGTCACCACCCTCAGAGTTAGTCTGGTCGCAGCATATTACGGTTATCCTGGTCGTGTCTTCTAAACCGAAGTATGATAAGCCTTCTTCACGATACTTCTGTGTTAGTTTGGTTCGACACTTCTATGGATAGCTCAGTCTGGGCATGCGAAGCCGAGATAGAAGCAAAGAAAAGGAAAGTCGGACTGAAAGTTAGATTTGTCATACCTGCATATCTAGTAAGGCAATGGTATTTCGGTCTCATAGAAGTCTGACCATGGTAAAACCATCTCACTTGGTTTAAGCAGTGAGGAGGGTGTTGAAGGATAAGCATTATCTTTCAGGAGTATGAATCCTAGGAGGACTCTGCATGGAGGAGTGGAAGTCCTATTAGGACTATGCCATACGGAACCTATAAAAGCTCACAAATATCACCTATGGAGAGGTAACACAACTTTGATTCCTGAATACACAGAGCTTTTGTCTACTTGTCTATTTTGCTGACTTAGGCATCGGAGGAGTTTCCGGCACACATCCGCTGGCTAGCTTACGTTTGTGTTTTCAGAGAGTAAAGCGACGACGTTTGGAGGAACGCGGACTTGATCAACAGGATTATACAAGAAGGTTTATTTCTTTCCCGTACACTGTAGATACAAGCTTTCGTGGAGCAGTTTTGTTAAAAAGTACAAATTGGAAGAAAACGATGTGATTTGTTTTTACAAATCTGTCCTGCCTTTGGAAGGCAATAGCTGCTATGCTATTCGATTTCCAATAAGTCTCAGAAGGTCCAAACTAGGTTTTGAGATTGTTTGGAAAGGACATACATCCATAGCATTGAATTTATACTGATATTGAGAACAACACTGAAAGCAGCAGCACCATTGATATGATTCAGAGCAAGCCTGAGAAGTCAGAAATCTGATATGTATATAATAGTCAGATTAATTCTTAGATACTAAGCTCCTTTTTTTCTTTTCTTTTTTTGTAAAAATCATTGTATAGGAATGTTTCATTGGAAGGTAATGAGTATATGAGCAGCTTCTATACTACAGCACTGAGACTGATTTTTCATACATACATTCATCTATAGCTTTATTCTTAAATTTTTTGTTTTTTCATAGCTTTTGACTTTGATAAAATTAATATTAAAAGCTATGCAAGCCTCAACAACAATTAGCCCTGACAAAAGTGAGGGGGAAAAAAAGCCAAAAAACTACCTCGTGACTCTCAACAACATTGTCAACTCCTAAAAAACTCAACTCACTGGAGCAGGACTCACCGTCCAGTGTTAAAACTCTGCACCCATGACAATGTCGCAGCCCAAAGTTTATGGTCCATTGGCTCGTTATTATTATGATTTTGAAAATAAATTGTCAATTTTTTGTAAAACTAAATATGACTAATCATATGATTATTGATATTCGATCAATCTAATATCTTACAACAACATGAATGGTTCGAATAGTGGGCACAGGGTGGGCTTACAATCACATGAACTAAACACCTCTAAACTCACAAAACAGAACACAAGACACCCAAGGCTTTTTCTTTTTCTTGGTCTCTTATTTATTTCACAGCCACCACCACAATGATATATTTATATAGTAACGTTATCAAATCAAATAAAAAATAAATATAAAGGGGATTAATTTTCTTGTTTATGACATTTGACTGTAATTTTTCACCAAAGTACTCTCTCTTTTTTTTAGTTACCAAAAATGGTATTAATTTGAACCATATATACATTGTCTCTGCATTGTCTAGTGTGATCAACCTGTAAGCTATAAAATGCATTCTCTGCTATCATTTGTATCTGTATATAAACATACACACTTCAAAAAAATAACTCTCTCTCTCTCAAAACTTGAAAAGTGCTCACAATCTATTCAAGAACAATCAAGAAAATGTCAGCAAGCAAAGAAATTATCACAAGTCTCAGTGATAATGAAAGAAAAAAGATGAAGAACTCAGATATTGAAGAAGCAAAAGATGTCTTAGAAGAAAAACAGAGTTCACCATCTTCTTCCCCAACAGTTGTCGCTACTGATCAAGAAAATGTTGTCACGCCAATCAAGAAACGAGGACATCTCTGTATATCAGAAGACCATGATGTGAATCAGAATCCCATTGATGCTTCATCAGAATCAACTTCCAGGTAATTTTCCTCTTCTTTCCCTGCTAAATTACTGATTTTTTATGGGCATTCTTTCAAGAATTATTTGATTCATTTCTGGGTGTTTTATGTGTACTTGTTTATCTTTGTACATCGATACATACATAGTTTTGCGTATAGCATATTCTCTCTGTCTGGTTGCATGCATAGGTGAAAAATTATAATATGAATGTTCTTTCACTCTCTTTCATTTTCTCAACAACCAAACAGAGCACTGCGTCATCATTGTCGTTCTTCGAAAATCCCTACCTAGTACTGACTCGAACATGAACTAGTGTCATTAATGGGTTGGCTAATTAAAGACTTGAATATGATTTGTACTTTATATTCCTGCGATTTAAATATTCTTCCTAAATCTTTCTTAAATATTCTTACAATTTTACTCTAGAAGAGGCATGCTGACAAGAAGGGATAGTGAATTGTTTGGTTGTGTATATGTTTTCTCTTCTCTCTTTTCTTTTCCTATTTTTTGGATTAAAAATAAATAAATAAAAAAAGGTCCCAAAAAAATTTATGGATGTTCTCAACAGTTTTAGGAAACAAATTCACCAAATAAGTTTTCTATCATTTTAAAAAATAAATAAATAAAACCTGAAAACCAAAACACCACCAAACTTGTTAATTTCTTAAAATTTTAATTTTATAGATTTTTTTCTTAACTTGGTTTTGGTGAAAAATTACCATATTGCCCTTGTACTACTGTCGAGTCCTTGTAGAGGCACGGTGAAATTTCATAAAATATTGAGGGTAAAATCACCTTTTATCACAAATTTTCCCAAAAAAAAATTTGTTTTTTTTATTTATTATGAAGGAGTCATTCCAAACAGATTTATTTGCTTTTAGCTTTTTTAGCAAAAAAACTACTTATTGTTGTTCTCAAACAGCGTCATACACTCAATTGAGAGGAACAAGCAGGAACCACAAGGCAAATGTACATCCACTTTATCCAGCAGCAACATTGTCAAGCATCCTCAGAGTGACTTTTACCCAAAATGGTCTTCTTATAAGAACAAAACCTCAGCTGCTTCTTCTACCTCATCAACCAAAACTGCTGGCAAAGATTTTCTTTTTGAGCAGAAACTAAGCAATTCCGATGCCACCAAGCCCTTCTGCTTACAATTACCAAAGGAAAAGGCATTAGCCCATTTTCCTTCTCTGCAGCAGACCAGTGATGGAAGACCTAGTTTAAAGATGGGGGTGCTGCGATTTCTCGACTCTCATAACAGGAAATGGCCGATGAAATTCGTGTACAATCCGTGCAGTAAATCCTTCAGGATTTCAGCCGGGTGGAAGGCTTTTGTCACTGCCCACAAACTGCAAGCCACTGACACGATTCGTTTTTACAAGATTATAAGATCAACCACTCTTGTTCACAACGCTATGATCGATACTTGATTGACTTTGAGAAGGGAAGTGGACAAAATGAAAGTAAAGAGGCAGTGGAGACGAGGATGATTAGGTTGTTTGGAAAGGACATCTATGAAGATTGCAGAAGTAGTGATACTAATAGAAGCTGCATTGTTGTTGAAAATGAGAAAACAGAACCGGCGAAGACAAAGACGAAGACGATTAGGTTGTTTGGTAAGGACCTCCATGTAGAATGCAGAAGAGATAAGGAGGTGGATACTCGTATGAACGGCCGTGATGATTAGGAGGGTTTGGTTCCTCTGTAGTTAATTGGAGTCAAGTAGTGAGAGGAGTCGTGTGCTTATCAGAATAGCCCAGTCAATGGCTCTTATGTATGTAAGACACATATTAGTTCATTGTCCGACTGATGGATCTTTTATACCTAATTTTGGTCTATAAAAAGCAATAAAGATTTGTTCACATAATATTCACGACAACCGAACGGAGAGTAAGAGAAAACATGATTGGTCACAACTCAGCTTGGAATTTCCATAAATTTGTACCAACAGGAACGGACTCATCACCTGCAAGCCTGCAACTACTCACATGCATAGCTTATCTCTGAATCCCCCTTTAAGCAATTTCATGAGTCACGCTAACTGATTAATGACAATTTATTTGGATCTCTTTGGTTATATTTTAATGGAGTATGAAAGAACACCACTAACCTATTGGTGACAGTTTTTTTTTTCCCCAAAGTTTTTGTGCACTAGGAAACAGAGACATCAAATAGTGTAAGGGTAATGGAATGAAATAGACAGCAATTCAAAGTTGCTAACTATTAAAGTGACTTCAATCTGGGATCAAGTCAAAAATGATAAAATGGTAACAGTGACCTCCCCTCCACTGTATCAGTGGTGAAATCCGGCGAATGGGTCATGGGTGGGCACAGCATCATGTGACTTTCCATCAAAATAATCACAGCATGTCTCACAAAATGAAGATCTATCATTCCAAAAAGCAGAACACTAGCACCTTCCCAGTCTTAAGTTTTATCAACTATGATTGACGACCACCTAATCAGCTTGAAAACATTAAAAAATAAAATAAAATAAAATAAACAAATAGGAGTTTTAACACATCATGCAAAAGAAGCCCAAAAAGAACATATATATACTTGTAATTTTCTCAAAACAGATACACATATTTTGCTATATATGCAAATTTAATTTAATTAATATCAGGGTAGTTAAAATCTAATATCTCAGTTATACCCCTTTTTGCCATGCTTGGTCACATGGTGCAACCATCCAATGCCTTTGATTGCCTTGGAGATCTTCACAAGGTTAGGCCTCCCCATTCCCAAATTCAACGTCCCTGTAGAGAACTTCAGAGCTTGTAAGATTAGGTCTACATATTCCTCTTAAACTTTGAGGCCACCTCAGTAACAGAAGCTGCGTGAAGAAGCACATCATTTCAAAATCCAAAATTTTCAACAATCACAACTTGTTTCATCAATCTAAAGCACCCAACTCAAATTCAAATCCTCTCCTAAAGAGAACTACAACAACAGTTTTGAATGCTAAACCATGATCACTAGCTATTGAACACCAAAATGAGATCTAAACGCTCTTTAATGACCTCTGCTATTAATGTCACAGCCACTCAGCTCCCTTCACTGCACCAATATGTGAAAAAGAACAGTAGATTACAATTGACATCAAGCACTACCCATAACATAAAAGAATCATACAGATCAAATGCACCATGAAAGTCACTGAATGCACAATATAGACTCAAAAGATTTGTCCAATGGGAATTCCACTACAACAAAATATTAGCATATGAAGAGAAGAAAAAGAATGAGCAAGCTTTTTGTAGCTAGACAAGCTCAATATAGGCCATAGGTGCATTGTCACCTCGCCTTGGTAGGTTTCTGATTATTCTCGTATATCCTCCATTCCGTTCCCCATACCTTTCTGGGACCTCAGCAAACAACGCGTGGACAATCTGCTTCTCATAAATGAAGCCAAGGGCTTGTCTCCTTTTGTGAAGCGATCCTTCTTTAGCTAGTGTGATCGTTTTATCAACATACTTCCTCATAGCACTAGCCCTTGCTCTAGTAGTTTTGATGCGTCCATGTTTCAGGAGCTGAGTGGTGAGGCCTCGCAACAGTGCGCGGCGCTGGTCAGGTGGCCTATTGAGTTTTGGTACTCTCCTCCCGTGTCTCATGGCAAAGAATCGGCCCCCATTGTCAATAATGGTGAAACCACGGCCAAAGCTGGTGAATTCTGAAAAGTTCCAAATGAGCAAGCAAAAAGAAATATGCAATGCATAATTGTGCCCATGAACCAATTAGAAGATGAACTAAAAATTTGACATGATAAATTGAAATCAGCAGAGGAAATGTTATCAGAATTCCATTCTAGGATTCAAAAAGAAAATGAGTTACATCCCAACTCCTGAAGAAGTGTGTAGCCTAGAAGAGAGTATAACTGAAAACCTTTTCAGGACAAGTGATAAATATTATTTGTAGCCCAGTTGCAGCAGACTTACCAGTCAATTCTATGGCCATGTTGAAAAAATTGACAAACTTAAGCAACCACTCAAGGTCTAATAGTTGTTAGCATTGAACGGGATATCAAGAAAGCCAAGCTCATGCAATGCAAGTATATGATGAATCTCAACTTATTCAGTTGCAGCCCTTTTGTTTTTTAGGTAAGTCGAGCAATTTTGAAATCGTTAAAAAAATGCTTGAATTACAGACTCTCCAACTACTAGAAAAGAGTATAAAATAATGAAATATGTTCAATACGTC